TCTCACGGCAAATGTCGGCATAAAATGGACAATATAGTAAGGCACGTTTGATGGTTTTGATGGCTTCTTCACCCCGTGGGCAGAGTCTGAATTCGAATGAAATCCCTTTGTATCTCCCCTCTAAAATTGCTGATGGAAGTGTGTTAAACCGTGCTAGTCTTCAGGCCCGCCTTAGTTTAGGAACAGTGATTTGGTTTAAGTATCCAGTGGGTCTGTAGGGGATGCGAGGACTACTTGAAAATACATCTTTGGGGAGGGACATCAAGTCCATTTGAATGTCGGTGTCTTTGAGGCACTGCTTGATTGCCTCTACAGTACTGGACATGCTTGCCCCAGCATGTGCACTTGGGTTAAGGAAACACCCAAAAGTTCCAGTTTCTTATATATCGCCATGGTCCAGGAAGAAATGAATTTGTCAGAGAGAACCTGGTGAACGGCCAACCACTGTAGTTGGTCGCTTTGCCTTGGCTAAAACGGTACAAAAAGGACAGTAACATCTCTCCATATTGAATAGGCTCAAAGAAACAAACTCAGCACGAAATGCTGGGCTGCGAGGTAAACAAAGCTTCTTACTGAATATTATTACTACTACAAACTCTCCAGGAACGTCCAAGGCCTTACCTTCTAAATAAAGTGATGCATTTTTACTCATGGCTGTACCCAGGTGATTTCTGGCCAGGCAATGATATACCCCCTCATCTGATTTTCCCTTCTCCTGGCTGAGGCGGAGGAAGAAGAGGGATCCATCTGGTAGAAGAGTAGGCTGGGAAGTAGCATCATCTATGCTGGTTTTCACAGACTTCCCATTGCGATACCATTCAATTGTGGGAGCTGGATTTCCAGCAGCACGGCAATTCATGGTGGCAGGCTGGTCCTTACGTACAACAAGGTTGGAGGGGTGATCAAGAATCTGTGGTGCAAATTCCATGGAGCGAGACTTTGAACCTGGAAGAATAAGAAAGGAAAGGGGAAGTAGAAACATGCTCACTGATCATTTTTTTCCCCAGCCAATCTTTTCCCCTCACCTTGCTCTACTTTCTGCTCTCAGTGTTACTAGCACCATCTCACCTATGCTATGGCTTTGCAACTGCTAGAGGTCCATTATGGGGGTAGGATTAGATTGTTGGTCTAACTGGGAAGGGCTGTGGTGCCTTTCCATTTCTTACTAATCTAGAACATGGATTACTAAAACTAGATTATGGATGCAGCCTTGAGTAAAATGAAAAAAAGTGGGGTACACTTATAATAAACCTACTAATCAAGTCCTGAGATAACAACTGTGTTTTCAGTGTTCTAAAGCATACATGTTCTTCAACAACCACCATTTAAAAAAAAAAAAGTCAGTATTTTTAGCCTTCAAGCATCGGGATTTAATGAGAGCCCGTAAAACCTCCCTCTGTCTTCTACCACTTCCATCAACTATATACAATGGTATTTTATGAATCTGATTCCCCTGAGAATCCAACTCATTGTTATAACACATGGTAATTCCTTTGGAACTTCCTGCGCACAACTTCCTGGCATTGTCACCTTGGAGGAGACCGAGTGTCATGGACCACCAGCTACAATGAAAAGTCTCATGGGTCTTTCAGGTACAATAGGCTGTCTCTGTTCCTCTATTCCAGGTGCAGCTATTTTTCCTCAATCTTGACCTGATAAAAATTGTCCCTAAGCCTATCACAGCTCTTAAAATGACCTCTTTTTTAAAAAATGCCCTCTTTTTAAAAAAGAGGGCATTTGCTTTTCTTTCGCGGCATTAGTATTGTGAAAAGGAAATCGCAGTTCAGATTGCCAAAAGTGCAGGATGACCCCATGTTGAAAAAATGCATACATATGTGTTTGTGTGTGTGTGCATGTGCGTGTTTAAATTTTGTTCGGGTCCTAGGCCAGAGCACATACATACTGACAACCACACAGGGCCCCAAAAAACAATAATCCAAGTACGTCTACTTACTTCTTGTAAAGATAAATAACTTTCTGCCCCGATCCAGTAACTGAGCCTTTAATGGAAGCATGGGGATCATGGACCCAATGGGCAAATTCATTAAATGGACCCAGATCCAAAAGTGGGTGAAGCTAGAACAAAATATAACTGCAGTTTGCAGCACTGCAAGATTGCCTAGCACTCTTTCTTATCCTATTCTAATGATGAAGACCCAGCTCTTGCCCCAACCATTGCACTAGGATGGGAAGTTAATAGTTGGGTTGGTCTGGCACCTGGTGGGAAGGGTTGTTCTGTTTTTATTCCATTGTTTTTACTGGTTAGATCATTTTCCCAGACTTTACAAAGCTCTATTGCAAAACAGTGTACAAAAAAGGGCATCATATGGAAGACCGGATACAGAAACATGTACGCCTAGGAAAGTTACGTAAAAGTGCATAAAATAGACAAAGTTGCATTCAAAGATAAATATGAATGTCTTTCCTTTTAAAAATTCACTAGGTGTCGATATTTGGAATGGGTTTGCCATTAAGTACATACAAACATGGTAAACTGGATTTCAGCTGATATAAGGTGATCCTGGCTTGATCGTACCTAGAGAAGCCAACAGTTTCCTTCACTGTTTGGTTGCTATTGGGAAAAGAGAGTAAAAGTCTTATCCAGCATTCTGGCTACATGTCCAGTAAGCCTTCCCTGCTATTGCTGTGACATGCTACCTCCACATATTCTCTGAGCAAGTGAAATGGAGAGTCAAGGAAGGAGAAAAGAATGTACTCATGTACAGCATTGCTGGAACTTCATACTTTTCAGTATTTGGTTTTTGGAAATGTTTGTGCTTTCTTGAGCCATCTTAGCTACTCCCCTTTTAAAACAGCAATGCTAACCACAGAAAATAATGCCGAGGTTCAGAGGAAGTTGGGAATCAGTCTGACTGTGAGCTTGAACGGCTGTCAACCCACCACACTTTTATTCAAAATTGAACTAGGCAACTATTTTGTAAACCCTGAATTCTTGAGTTATACAACCACTTTGGTCTAAAGAACATAGAAAGCCTCCTTTATCAGACTCTGAAGCTTAGTGAGGTAGTCCAGACAAGAAGCACACCCAGAAGTACTAGCTCTAACTTTATTGTAATGTTACATTAACAGAATCTTGCATGTCTGAAACTACATCTCTCCTCCCTCACCTTTACAATTCAAGAAACTAGGGAAGGTCCCTTCTGAGATGTTTGCCATGCCCACATTCCTTCTGTGGACTCCACTGCTGCTTGTTTGACCATTGTCTAATCTGCAGCTCTTCCTCCTGTCTCCCAAGGTCATTTCCACATACCATTACATTACATTACAAGAAGAGCAAACGAGTTGGCATTTTCATGAATCCAAAATAAATCAAAGTGGGGAAAGAATACTCAGGTAAACTTGCTAGGCCAAGTCAATAAAATTTGCTGCCTGAGATAAAAACCAAGGTTGGGCCCCATCTCCAGTCCATGAGCAAAGACAGCTCCGGACCAGCAATGAATCAGGATCCTCATCCCACCTAATCCAGTAGGCAGTTTTAGTTAAAGGACAGGAAAATAATATGCTGTCTTTCAATCACAGAAAATAACAAAGTCCCAGAGAAATAGTCAAAAGCCCTACTCTGGTTTCTAGGACAAATGTGTCCACCTCTATCTGCCTAATGATCAAGCTGGCAATGTGAAATAGATTGCAGCTAAGCTGATATAATGTTGGTTTGGTGTACTGTATGAATCTATAAACCATAGTTCATGGATTTGCATAATACACAAACGCAGTCAAAAACATAATTATTCAAAAACCACCATTAAGCAAACCACCATTTTGCAACTCTTGGTCTTCTTCCATGAAACAACACTGCAACCCTTGATTTCACTGGTTTGAAAGTGCTGAAATCTAAGCTAACTTGCCTTAGGAACTATCGGATTTTTCTAATGCTCAAGATATAAAAAAACTTGTTTTTTGTGGTGGAAAAGAAACAGCAGATGGCAAGGAGTTGCCATCTCTGCTTCCTGCTGAGCTCCAGATTATGGATTGCAAGGGCCCAGATGCCACAAATACATAACACCCCAAATAAAGCAAATCAAAATGCAAATCATCTAATATGGCACAGAATGACTGATTTGGAACTGAAATTATTCTACTTCATACCTATGACAACATGCAAACCCTTTGAAACCTAAGGTGCCTGGAAACATCATGCCGTAGTATGAATTGCATCAAGGGAGAAAATGTCTCATAGCAATGTTATTGGAATGCGAGAAGTCCAAGTAAATTTAATAGCTATTGAGAGTAATTCAGCAATCTACACTTCCCAAATTCCAGACTATGGCATTCAGAAAAAGTTTAGGACTCAGTGAGCCTTCTTCTCTGTCTTATAGCAAAAACGTAAACATGCTGACTCAGAAGCAAGGATAAAGAGGACTTATTTCTGCAGGCTCATGAGATTCCACCATCAAATCTGTCCACTTACCTTCCATTAGTAGAAACAATGCCCAAATCAAGAGGCTTGAGGGCTCAATGTGCCTTCGTCTTGACATGGTTGCCTAGTTGTTGTGCAACTCCAGAGAACTTGGCACTCAAAGAGAGTTACTGGATGGGACACTGCTCACTGCTGCTCCATTGTACCACTAGAGTTTTTAGGCTCTTTAGTCCAGCACACGTCACATGCAAAAAACAGTTCATCCACTACAAACAGCTTTCCTCAAACTGACTTCCTCCCAGTTAATAGTGACCATTCACGTATATTTTTCCTTTTCTGGTCACAAGATACAGGAAGGGGTGGTTCTGGGTGGGCATTTCAGCTGCAGCACTTCTCCAACTTTGATTTGAAAGTATAGCTGCTCAAAAATCACACGTTTGCACAAAAAATGAGTCTACGCACCAGCTTTCTAGTTTCTTCCTGCTTCACAGTGGGATTCTGTCCTCTTCTTAAACAAAAAACTTTTCTTCAACCAGATTTTTTTTTTTTTTTACTCTAGTCTCTACCCCTTCCCATTTCCCTTCCTTCAATTATTTCTACTTCAACCTTGCCTTGTGCATATAGACCACACAATACTCTGGAAATACAGATGTTTTTGTAGCACAATGGGTGTTAATCATCAAGCTAAACACTTTGCCAATGCAAAAACCCAATGCCAGACCTTCCTCCCCAAAATCTGGATTCTTATTTTACTGTAAATATAGTAGGCATTTACACTACACATGTGATGAGACTAAGGCAGGGGTTGCTGGCACTCAGGGCCCCCGTAGTGCCCAGGATTTGATTATATAGCACTCACTTATCTCTAAATTGTAATGCCTCCTACGTTTCAAAATTTTAATATGTATTTACTTTTATACAGTAGTTGGGTATACACAATATGAGGCACAATTACATGATAATGTCAGCTGTCTGAAAATATTGCTCATTCTGGAACTATAAAATGTGAACATCACTTCTCATAGGCCAGTAAAATGCTCAACAAGGTATAATCACACTCTTTAAGAATAGTGTGAAAATATGAGGATATCATTTAAGCAATATGTGCACTGTCTTTCACTCCAGGCCAACATTTCCCTTTGCAAGACCTAGACTGCCCTAGGGATGTCTGCAGGATAGTCATAAAATCAAGATGGGATCCACAATGGTGCATTTGAAGTTCCACCTCTCTTTTATGTATCCCATACGTGCAACACACACATAAAAAAACCAAGCAGAGATTTGATTGTATCATTCTGTCTGCCATCTTGACTTTTTTTTTTACCATACCTTGTGGATACCTCTGGACTGCACCAGGTCCACAGAGATTTTAAGCACATTGGCTTCTTGGTTTTGTTTGTAGCACCCCACTAAAGCTCTAATATAATGTCTTAGAAAAAGCCAGAGTTTGCCAGGAATATACAGCTGAATAATAGCCGGATGCTGCAAAGGAGGCAGGAAACATATTTGAAACAAACAACCAGAGAGACAGAGAAAGAGAGAGAAAAACAGGCTTAAGAAATAACATATTAACCCCAAAAGTCAGAGTCAGACATTTGCAGCATCATGGATAAAGACTTAGAGCAAGCATCCAGGTGGCCTCTCATATCAGGTAAACAACCGATAGACGCTCAATTGCAAGAAGCAGTAATTTACAAGTGTACAAAAATTGTTTTTTTTTTCATTTCACTTTATTTATAGCTCACCCATTTGCCAGCTGCCCAAACAATACACACACCAAAGGATTGGAAACCAATTAAAAGTATGCATGGTGTGAAAAAAATGGTTTGTATAGAAGATTCATATTTGGAAAACCTAAACTGTGACCTCCACTATAGAAATAGCAATTGCACAAAATCTGGCTGCTGTTCTACATATTTTTGCAGACCCATCAGTCAAAAGGAGGTGAGTTTTCTCCGCAGCAGACCAGCCAGAAGAGTTTAACAGCAGATCTGAGTGCCAAGCTCCATAAAATGGGGAGCAGACTAAACATAGTGATTCCAATTTCTATTTCTCTATCAGTTTGACACTCTCTTTGCGGATGTAGACCCCTTAGAATTAGATACAGTAGGCTACTCTGCATTCTCAAACTGCAATAGGCAGAAAGGCAGACATCCACTTTCGGTGTTAGGAATCTAGTGTCCTCCATCTGCATAATAGAGGAATGTCAAAAATATGTTATTTCAATTTAAGGACAGCTTTCTCAAACCCTAATGGAACCAAGTGTTGGATTGAAAACAGGGTCACATTCCATGCCTTTTCCCCCCCAAGATGATTAGAAGTTGTCCAAGAGTCCAGAAGAGTCCCACCCAAGTTCAGTTTTGCCCCAAATTTTAGGCAACAAAGCCTCATGTGAGCCCTTATCATGTGAGCAAGTTCTGATTCCAAGTGTAACAAGGAATTGGGTACATTCTAAGGCACTTGGACTATAGATTTTTAAAGTTTTGATTGGACCATTTCAAGGAATTTTAGATTTGATAAGAACAAGTTTATTAAGCATAAGACTAATTACTTTGGCTTCATAACTGTTTATACTAGCAGGCATGTAATTACTGCCTTTACTATCTATGAAATGCAGAACTGCATTGTTGGCCCTATGGGCCTGACCATTGACAGCTTTTGATTGTTCCCTCCAGACAAAGAGGGCTGAAAAGTAATTTAAAGGAGTTGTTAATAGCAAATATGCCAATGAAGAATTTCAGACTTAGGTCCAACTCCAAGCCCTGGTCCATTAGGGCACATGCTATAGCTAAAGCTGAATTAATCAAAGTTTATAGGGCTTATGGAGCTAATCATGGTAAGCATTTGTGGGAATTAGCTCTTGAGCTGAAAAAAATCTTATAAATCCCATTATGAGCCTTGTTAGGAAATTGGTGTAAGCTAGCTCAAATATTCAAAAATAAGAATTCCTAAGCCTCTGATTCATCTGGGCTGGCCAGATTGATCCCTCCTGAGGTTTGAGTTGAATACTTCCATGAGCTAAGTATTCAATCTTATTTGAGCTATTTTCAAGTTACATTCCAGAGTGGCCTCCAGTGTCTCTTGCTGAGATCCATAAACTACGCCTTCAGCTGAAAAACGGTAAAAAGGACTAGGAGGGGAAGGTGTGGGGCTTGATCCCAGCCAAACTTTTAAAGTTGAATCCTGATTGGTGGCCACAGTAGTATTTACTCATGATGGTCATGATCTCCATATTCCTGAGAGCTAGTCTTGGTCAATAACAGTTTCTTTAAAAAAAGAGCCAAGCCTAGTCCAGCAAATTACTGCCCAGTTAATCTCCTACGTATAGTTAGTAAACTGTATGCTAGACATCTGTATTGGAAACTAACTGACTGACTCAGGATAAGATTCTGATTGTTGCAAATTAGATGCAAATTTATTCTTCCAATATTGCATGATAATTCTTTTTGCTATCTCCCAAGTACCAAAGGTCCATAGTTCTCAATTCCTTGACATATTTCAAAAACTGGGATATGGCCAAGAACAATATATATATATATTATTGAGAAGGAGCAGTGAGCTATTCTGAATCCTCACATTGTAAAATAATTACTATGAGAAAGACCTAAAGCAACATTTATTCATCACATGTACGATAATCAAAGAGTAGCCATATTATTACATGGTTTGGTTTTTAGGTATGGTTTTTTAAAAATGCTTAAAACTCAAATGTGTTGACATCAAGAGGCTGCAAAGCGGGGGGAAACACAACAGTCCCCCATTTGTATTTCCAAGAATCATGGGTCTACGAGGAGAAGGATGAAACAATGCAGTGGGTGGTTAAGGTGTTGGACCAGGACTTGAGAGAGCCAGAGGAAGCTAACCTTTAGCCATAGAAGCTCACTGGGTGTCTAAGTTTGACCAACGTACTTCACAAGGTGAAAATTTTGGAAGATGGAATGTTATACGCATTATCTTGAACTCCTAGAGGGAGGTATAAATCTAAAACATAGAAAAAAGGGGCATAAATAAGGAAGTAGCAGACAAAAGCCAGCTGCTCCTTCTGGGCTGTGCAAAAATCCATATAGTTGTTACACAAGAACATTTTCCCCTGCAAAATAGACTTCTGTGTTTCCTCTTTACTCTCAGAATGCTTTGAGAATTTCTTTCAGATTTCCTTAGGTCAGGTTTTAGGACTGACTTTATTGCTGGAGATGGCAGAGGATGCTACTGCTGCATTATGGTTTTATGTGACTCATCTTTTCATGACTTGGAAGCCTCCCTTTACTTCCCTGTCTGAAAATTCCCTATGAAAAGGGATTCTTCCCTCCCAATGTCTTTCCTTGGGCTTTAATTGAAGTGTGGGAATTCTGGGAGGCTGCCATTTGCTAGAGAAATATTTGTAGAAGGGAGACAACCCTTGACCATATTATAACAATACATACATGAGGACACCACACTTCACTCTAGAAAATTTCACCAATTTTATCCTATCCTTTAAATGAAAATTCAAAAGAAAATTCTCTTTTCAGTTGAAAGGATGAGGAGTTTTTCTGCATCGCAGTACTAAGTAATACCATTAAGCATTGCTGCATTGGTGTGAAGAGGTGATCTGGGAGAATCCTAAGATTCATCTGTAGCCTGGAAGTTTTCCTTAGACCTTTGGGCTGGAGTTTCTCCATCTTCATTGCATATTTTAAATAAAGAATCCATATTTCTAGCACAGAGATGCACAGAACAAGACTGTTAGCAGTCATTCATAAAACTAACATGATAAAAAAAGAATAAAGCTGGTGAGATGGATCCAGACTTGCTGTTCTATGAACATGTAGGTGAATCAGGGGTCTCCCTGCAAAAAATAGGGTCCCCTTGTAACTGTAAGAATGGGAAACAGTTTTTGCCAAATTTCCATGCAATCCTGAGAACCACCTCCCATTCCCACCTCCCAGAGTACCCATCCTAACCACCAAGAGCAGATTTGAAAAAACACAGCAGTTGCCAAAAAGTGCCACCTGGAGCCATGTGCACTTGTAGCCATAGGCCACCCCTAGTTCATACACTTTTGTTCCATACAGATGTTCTGCTATTTAACTACAGGCTGAAGAGTTTAAATCTTGATTGTTCTATGTGCAAAACATATGCTCTACCAGTGAGCTATTGACCCTCAGAGGAATAAGTCAAAAGAATAATTTCCCACACACAAATTGCCTCCACAACAATAAAAAAGATGATGCATTCATGCTGATCTTT